TGCATCCTTCACACCGACGGCAAATATTTCTACATCAGCATCTCTCAGCTTTACAGCAGGTTCCTTAAATGCATCTGATGATTTTCCATCAGTAATAAGAATCATGACTCTTGGCACATTTGGTCTTGATCCTTTGCTGGTAACAAATACTTTCTCCCTCACATATGTCATCGCTTTGCCTGTGTTGGTAGATCCACCTCTGTAGGGGAAGGTGTTAATAGCCTGAATTATATCTTCCACTCTGTTGAATCTGTTCAAAGAAAACTCCATATGGGGATCTCTGCTGTACTGGACAAGACTTATCTGTACTTTTCGAGGTGATATCTCAAAGCTTTTAACTAACACTTCCAAAAAGGCTCTTACTTTAACAAAATTGGCGATACCAATGCTGTAGGAGCCATCCACTAAAAACACAACATCAGCTTTTACATCCACACCACGTGAGCATTCTGTAAAGAGAAAGAATCACCACTATAAACAGGCATTCAATACAAAAAGCATTTCAACTGCATCCTATACATGCATAATAGTCACTTATAAAATAAATAAACCATTTTAAGTTATTTTTAGATTTAGCAAAGGTGCAATATTAAAGTGAGCATCAGAGGTTTAAACAACAAAAAACTGCCATATGAAAATAATGGAGCAATTGCTAACTTACCCACTTGAACTTTTACTTGTTGTGTTTTTTCCATTATAGTTACTGGCTCACTGGGCGTCAATCCTTTCATTGCATAAACACTAATTTGATACTCTGTATCCGGAGAGAGATCTTTTACATTCAGAGCAGTAGTCTGAGGCCCCACATTCAGTGCATGTTGTTTTCCACCAGCTATCATTGGAATGAACTGCACCCTATAGCCAGTTACTTGGCTTGTGGATGGATCCCAAGTGATCCTAATAGATTTTGAGGAGATCTGTGCAGCAAAGAGATTTGAAGGAGGCTCCACCACTGAAAAAAATCAAAATACAGTTATAAACAGATTTTCTTTCACTGTTTTATTTCTGATTTTTTTTTCAGAAATAGATAAACAGCTGAATTAAAGGAGAATCCCAAAGGGGCAGCAGGCCACTGTTTTATTTCTGATTTTTTTTTTCAGAAATAGATAAACACAGCTGAAGTAAAGGAGAATCCCAAAGGGGCAGCAGGGACCGATCAGAAATACAAATAGTGCATGTGTTTCCCCTGCTGAAGTGTTGCAGAGATTCCAGGGGAAAAGTTGTCTTGGAGGTGTAAGCTCCTAAAGGAACATGGTAGGCAGTGTGAACAAATACAGATGTTAGCAGAGCACTATGACAGTGATATTATTCCTGCT